GCACGCCACTGCCCCTCACCCCCTCTGCACGAAATACTCACAAGCTCACAGGAGCAGTTGGCCACAGCAGCCATCAAGAAGGGGCAGGACTGGAGACCTTGGACACCATACCACTAAACTACTAACCGTTCTTGAAATAATTAGTATTATAATACTAATCTTAACTGGAGTAAGAATACTAAATCATGAGATTTGCCGTGCGGGCCTCGGTTGCAGTCAATGCTTCCGCAATATGCTGGCAGCTTTGGTGGCATCCCAAATCTGTCGCTGTGAAAAGAATGAAAATAGTTCATGCAATGTTGTTAGTTGATGGACTTCTAAGTTCTCATCACGTCAGGTTCCAAGATTTCTTGAAGCAAGCCTGAAACTCCATTCTAAATCAGTGGCCTAGACGCAGGGCTAGGCTGACTTTGGAATGCCTTCATCTTAGGGACCCCAAAAGAACACAAGCATAAGCGTATTATCGGGATATCCCTGTCCTAAGTTTTCGGGGCCCTATCATCACCCCTTGCAGATTTTGTATCTCAATCTGAGTTTCACCCTAAACCCTAAACCCTAAGCCTTGTGGACCCAAAGGAGGCTCCACTCTTTTCCTCGAACCCAAACAGATAATCTAGTGGCTTTAATACTTAGAATTGGGTTCCTTCAAAGGGGTCCTTTTAGGGTTACTGTTAAGGATCCATAAGGGTACATACTATAATTTAGGGGCCGTAATAATTAGAATAAGGTGTTGGGGCTCATTATACTATAATGTTCATAAGGAGCCCCCCAAAGTAGTAAAGGTATGTATCAAGGCCCTATGTTAGGGATTGTGTGGGCCAGGAGTGGGGTGGGTGCCAAGCCCATAGAGCCGCGAATATAGGAGTCCAAATAATTAGTTATACTCATTTGGGGGGGCTCCTTATTGTGGTCAGAGTATAATGGGCTCCGAACCCCTATTCCCGAAACCCTATTCTAATCATTAAAGGCCCCTATATTATAGTATCCCTTAAAGGAACCCAGAAAAGCCACTACATTAGCTGTCGTCAGGAGCACGAGAGGAAGAAACAGGAAGAAGAGCACTCAAGAGCATGGCTGCAACAGCCATGGCCTCACGGGTCTAAACCCTACCTAGAGGCTCATACCCTACCCTTTTTGTAAGGTACCTAATATTCCATATAACAGATCCTAGCCAGAAAACTAGGTATCCTAAACAAGGGGTAGGGTATGAGCCTCTAGGTAGACCCTGAGTATCCCTGGGCGTTGGTTTTGGAGCACAAGGTTCCGCATCGTTTTCGACTCTGGGCGTTTTGTAGGGAATTTTGAGACTTTGTAAGCCGCAAACCCGAAACCTTGAAGCCACAGGGCTTGGCTTTAGCCAGCGATCCTGCCCCCAACCTCCGTGTATCCAAGTGTGTGTGTGTGTGTGCGTGTGTGTGTGTGTGTGTATGTATGTGTATATATATATATATATACATATATATATATATATATATATATATGTATAAATGCGTGTGTGTATGTATATACATACATCGGGTATGTATGCACTGTAGGCACGTTGAGAGGTGATGAGCATTTGTTTATGATTATGATTAGTGGCTCACTAGACGATGTTCGGGGGCTGTTCCCGACCAAACCTAATGCTTTTCCAATTCAGGAGCCCCGTGAAGCCGATAGGTTCCTTTAAGAGCATGGTAATTACTGAAAGGGTTCATGGATTCCTTTTAGCTCTTCGTAGATTCGTAGGTGTCACTATTAAACCAGAAGCCGAGGGCCGCGGTGGAACGTGCCGAGCGATATGTGGCTGCTCGCCAGCGCCAGCGCGAGGAGTTTCCCGAACATGGCGTTGAGACGCAGCAGTTTGAGGTTGAGGTTTTGCGATTTATGGTCGGCTCTGGCCAGGTCGCATGATCAGTTGCATGTTATCCTTGAAAAGTAGGTGCTCGTAGTTCCACGGCGGTCGTAGGCCATCACGGCAGTTCTGGAAATTGTATGACGTGGTACTTTTTCGGTGTTCCATGTTGTTCCTATCCTCTCACTACTGGCTCTCTTTGTCTCTCTCTCTCTCTCTCTCGCTTTCTCTCCTTTGTCTTTCTCTTTCCCTGTTTCCCCGCTACCCTGTGTAGTTAGTCTGTAGGTTGCTTGGTCATGGGTGGCGCAAAACAAGCAGGTCCTAGTCCTAGACTTAGTCGATCCAGACACCTAGGCCTAGGCACTGTGAAGTTCGCTTCTTCGGCTGCTTGTTTTGGCAACTGTATTGCGGCTCAATATCTCCCTAAACCCTAAGCCCTAAACCATCTTGTTCATGAGTTTGTGCAAAGCCGCCGGCTCTCACTGATGCATGGTGTATACCCAGGGGTCCCAAAGTAGTTCCTTTTTGGGTAGTATGTTAGAGTCCCTAATCAAAAAGGAGGACACACCCAAAAAGGAACTACTTAGGGGCCCCTGGGTAAGAGCTCACGAACTATTGGGCTTCCGGCTTCGGAGTCTCGGGGGGGGGGGGGGTGGTAGCGACTTGAGCTCAGGTACTGGTATCTTAGGTTTGGTTGGTAGATGGAGATGCAGGAAAAAAGACTTTCGGAACTCTCAAAAAACAAGATACCTAGGTGCGATATTGATGATAAAGATCCCTGATTGTACGAAGCCCCCACGTGGCAAGACTCTTCTGAAGGAGGTTTCCGTCCTCACCCACGAATGGAGCAAGGTTGCGGAGGACGCGCTGTTAACATGTGCACACCGACACTCTCTTGCTCCAACGGTCAAGGGCTTTGGCACAAAGACCAGGCAACAGAGGGATGCTTGAAAAGCTGTCCTGCTGCGACTACTACTAGACTAATTACTACTACTACGACGACGACGACGACGACCACAACGTCGACCACGACCAGTGCTACTGTCCGGACCCAAATCCGAAGCCCCCAGCCAACACATACTTCGCAAGCTTGTGACCTCAGGACTTCCCACGTTGTCTCAGATGTTGGGTCTTGTGGGTTTAGGGGTCTAGGGTTTAGGATACCCTAAACCGCAATTTTGGACAAACCGTGCGTCGGCCGTCGGAAGGAGAAGAAACGCCAGAAGGAGGAACTCAAGCGAGCCGAGCTTCGTGAAGAGAAGGAGGCAGCGTGTGCGTACGGGTTTAGGGTTCAGGGTTTAGGGTTTAGGGATGCTTGCAGGCTGCTTGAACTGCTTAGTCGGTATTCTGCAGAGTTGCTCATTGCGTCGTCTGTGAATACCTAGTGGGCTGCACATATGTCACAATCTTTATGTATGCATTGCAGAATGTCCCTTCAAGCTGCATAGATAATGGCAGCATTTGGCATCGGCGCCCGGTCACAAAAAGATCGAGACCCAAAGACCCCGATCGAACTCTGAGCTGCCAACCCTCAAACCCTAAACCCTCGAACCCTAAACCGTAAGCCTCCAACTTCCAAGCCTTAAAAAGTTTCCGAAGCTTGAATCCCGGACTCCACAAAAGATGAAGATGATGAGACCCCAACTCCCACGAATATCCTTCATAGGGACCCTTAGGGGCTTTAGGCGACCTAAATGCCCAGAAGAAGGACCTCATATCCGCCTAAGGAAGTGTAGTCCCCTACCGCCCTCCCCCCTACCCCTCTAAGGGTCACTATGAGAACCCTTACAGCTTGGGATGTGGGAGTTTAGGGTTTCCCCGGAACCGCAAGCTCGCTCCTTTATCCTTTGCGGGATTGGTATGAGCTTCATTCAATGGTTGAGGGTTCAGGGTGTAGGGCTGAGGATGGCGCAGGGATAAGGTTCCGGCTGAGACTGCAGGTTCTATCGGGAAGCCATGCGATTTTTTGCACACGGCAATGTTACCAGGACCTCGCATACCATGCCGAACAGTCCCAGACCATGCAAGCTACAAGTGGACAAAGCCTGGAGTTTCCCCTAGATCCGACAACCCCCGCCCCTGAACCCTGTATCCTAAAGCCCTGAACCCTGGACACCGAACCCTGAACCCTGAAACCCTCACTTACTGTAGGGGCCTTAATAATTAGAATAGGGTTTGGGGGGTACATTAGCTATAACTGTGGGAAGGAATCCTCAAAGCCCTATTCAGATTATATTAAGGCACCTCTACCAAAACCTTATGATTCCCATTATCGTAACCCTTATAGACCCCTTTTCCAAGACCCCCTTAAATTAAAAGGCGCCTACGTGACTGAAGCCCCACAAGTGCCACAAGATTCCGTACTTGGAGGGACGGGGGACTTAGTAACTGGTTATTTAGGGACTTATAAGTACCATAACCCCAATTAGGGTCCCTTTTAGGGTACTTATAAGTCTACTTACTAACTACTTACTAAGTCCCCCGACCCCCCAAGTAGTACCCCAAACTCTTAAAGCCTGATAAGTTCCTACACACCGCTGCACCCTCAAATCCGTAACATAGGGGCCTTAATAATTAGAACAGGGTTTTGGGGTATTTTTTCTTTTTCGCAGCGGTTGAGCCTGGTACAGGCGCTCGCCTAGCACACATGAATTCGAAGTGAAACACCCACCAGAACGAGGCGGTGGGCCCCTCAGCGCCTGTCATCCCGGCAGTGCCAGGCCAAAGAGAAAAGCGCTTCACCAGGCCGCATAACCAGCAAGCGAAGTCGTTCCTCCAAAACGGGCCCCCGGGAGGCAATCTTCGATCGCGGGGCCCTCAAACTTTACCCTATGACAGGCGCAGTGACAGCGTATGCGCAAGTTGGGCAAAGCGCAAACAGAATCAACTATCCAAAACAGCAACACTAAGCACCAATGCACGCCAGTGTTTGTGGCAATATTGCTTCCACAACACATGGGCACATATGGATAGTCTAAAGACATCCACAAAACAAAGCGGCTATAATGATCCGCATGAGCATGCCTCCACTCAAGGTCAAGTGTGGGCATTTGCAAACAAATAACTTGGGATCGGCTACATGTAACATGAGGCCAAAATCCACGCACGGTCCCCATTGGGATGGTCAAGCTCAAAAAGGTTGACTGGCACCACAAGTTGATGCAGTTCAACCTTTGATTGTAACAAAGCTATCCCCATCATCCTGCTGCAACATACAATCAGAATCCGTGTCACAAGCATCACTCTCCACGTTTGGCAGCTGGGGAATGTTCCAAAGTTCACACCCTGTGTTCCTTGCGCCCACCACGGAACCAATGGCATATGGCGGGTCATAGATGTATGCAGCTGCGTACCTTGGGACCTCTGCACTGAAACAAACCCGAAACTTGTCATTGCCGTCCTCCTTGTGCAAGTAAGACGTCGATCCAGTGGTGCTGCCAGATCCTGCAGTCCGTTGGCCAATATTGATGGCCGTGCCTGCCGGCACACTCAACCCAGAATTCGCTGCCTCGATGTGTGGGCTCGTGTGCGCGTGTTTATCCAACCAGATGGCGTGGCGGTTCATGCCGATGCTGCCTGCACCGAAGATGCAGAACCACAGCAAAGCATACTGGAACGGCAGGGCGCACATGACCACCTGTTTGATGGTGCATCCGCGCAAGATGCGTGCCATGAAATTGCCGACGAAAGAGGGCCAGCACATCCACCAGTCGCAAGCAATCCACCAGTTCCAGCAAAAGAGGGGCCGCCAGTTCATCCACGAAGGATTGGCGCCCTGGCCGTCATTCGACCGCCACTCTCGCAGAGCCATTTGCGCGAATGTTTCGGTGTCGAAGGCAAACGCGATGAAGTGCAGGCCGATCACGTGGTGGATGTACCAGGGCCCATCTAAGGCGGACGCAAACAACATCACCGCGCTGCCGCATACGAGGGCGCTGTAGGAGACCGTCTTGATTCCCAACTCCGAGCCTGCCGCGACCGAGAGCGTGGCACAGACCATGATGCTGGCAATCACGGGGGGCTCTTGGCGAACTCCATTCCCCGCAGGGCCATGAAAGGAGTTCTGGGGGCTTCGCAATCTGCGCTCGTGCAGTGTTCGAGCCCCTTTTTGGGGTATAGTATACTATAATTACAGTAAGGACACACCAAAACAGCATTGGTAATTATTTATTCCTTTACAGACGGTAACTCCTAAACCCGAAACCCTGGACCCTAAACCCTCAGCTCGACATCCAGGCTCTCCAGCGCTTGGTCCAAGGATGGGTTCCCCCGCGGCGCCAGCGGCCGAGATCTTCTGCCGTCAGCTCCGGGCGTTTAGAGTTTGCAGGGCTTTACCTAGACCCCCCAAAAGTAGGTAAAATAATGGCCCAAAGCCTATAAAAGGCTATTATTCTACATACTTTGGGGCTCCAGGTAGTTTTCAAGGATTAGGGTTTAGGGCTATTTGAGCTTCAGGTTCACTGTGCCTTTGAATGAATTTACATAAATCGTGACCCGAATGCTGTTACAGGAGTTAGGCGTATAGTAGAAGCCAGAAAGTTGGAACATAATTTTCCTCATACCCTTAAGGTAAAGTATAAGGGATCCTAGCACTAATCCTCCTAAAACCATGTTCCAACTTTCTGGCTTCCACTATAGTTAGCTTCAGGGTGATCGGGTTGATGGCTGACGACCTCAGGCACAAGGTGTAGAGTCGTTGGGCTAGGTTTAGGGTTTAGGGTTTAGGGTTTAGGGCTGAGTATTCCTGCCCGAAAGGTTCGCTTATCTTTGGTCGTTGGCATGCGATGAACTCCTAAGCTGTGCTGCTTGCTCCCTGTGAGACCTGAGTCTCTGTGATGGGGATATCCGTCCGGCACGCGCGTCATTGGAATATGCGCTGAACTGAACAGCTATTTCATGAAATATCATAAAGAGGGCAGTCTTTTCCCGTACACTAATTCGGCTGAGATGTGTTGTGTTCGTGTAGGTATCTTATATGTGCATGTCTATGGGTGGTTTATACTGTAGTATGTTGTTGCGGATATATCTGTTCACAAAGCATGACAAGCCCGTCAGTCTATAGAGATATACAAAATAAATACACATAGCATCTCAACCCGCTGCCCCTAATTTAAGGGCCTATACCAGTTTGGGGGTTTCCTGATTGTGCTTACAGTATAATGGGCCCCAAAACCCTATTCCAATTATTAAGGCCCCTGCATTATAGTTATTATAGTACCCTTATAGATCCCTTATAGCAGCCCTGCAAGGATCCCTTTTCAAGCAACTCTATTCTAAATGTTAAGGCCCCTGTTTTAGAGGCCCCACGCGCTGAACCCTGCAGGACTCAAGAATTCAGGCCTCGCAGCCCACACTCTTCTGTGAGTCTTAAATTAAATCCTAAACTCCCTACCCGGACCCCAAAAGTATGTGGAATAATCGCCGTTTAGAAGCATTGGGCCATGATTTTACCTATTTTTGGGGGCTTAGGTAACCCTAAACTCAACATCATAGCAGGAATACCAATTGCTTTACATACGAAGCTGCGGTTTGATTTCGAGGACTTTACATACAGACACTTACTCGTAAATCCTAAAATTTCAGAACTTAAATCTGAACGTCGCTCAGATAGATCTAACTCCTAAGGCCTAAGTCATATAAGCTGTAGTATCCTACAGCAAGCCCTAAACCCGGCCCAAACCTAAAGTTAAACCTAAACCGCCGCAGCACCAGCGCCTGAACCCACGGCTCTAAACCTTTGAGCTCTATAGCTAATCCCGAAACCCTCAGCTGGAAACTTTAGGCCCTAAGCGCCAGATAAATCTCAAACCCTAAGCCTGCTCCGGTGGCGATTTGAACAGCGAGGTCTTCGAAAGCCATGCTACCCGCCTCACAATGTTCGGTCCTCAGCTGTCCCTAACAGTGTTTAGGCTTTGGCGTTGCCGACGGGTTTTAGGATCTAGAGTTGGTGAGCTAGGGCTCTAGGCAGCAACAGGGTCTTTGGGTTAAGGGTTTGGGGCTCCGGAGACTATCAAGATGATTCTTCAAGCCAATGATGCAGATCGGGTCAGCTTTTGGCATTGAGAGTCTAGGCTTCAGAGCGATTGCTCAAACCATCGATGCAGACAGCACATTGCAACACCAGCTTTCTATGCGTCGTCGTCGCAGTAGCGTCGTAATCGCAGCCATAGCCGTGCCGCAGCCGAGTCGTAGCCGTCGTGGTAGTGGTGGCGGTGGTGGCGGCGGTGGTGGTGGTGGTGGTGGCGGCATCGGTTTCAATCGTGGCAATGGTATCAATAGCAGTAGTGGCAGCAGTAGGAGAGGCCGCCCAGTAATTATTGCTGATGTCCGTGAAGATGACAATGACGGAGGCGATCATGGCGCTGCAGTTGGCTTGCGGACATACTCTCAGCCTCTGTGTGCCACTTGAGCATTGCGTGTCCTGAGCCTGAAACATTTCTACCCGAAACCTCTGACAGGCTGGCTCAAGAGGCCGGACTGGTCCACCGGAATCCTAGAACTTTATGCGAAAGCTCCAGAACGGACATCCGGGCGCTCAAGCCCAAACCAACCAACTCCCCACTGGCTCAGCCTGATTAACCCCACACCCTCGAAAGCTCATCATCTCAAGCCCAAAACTGCCAGGAAGAGTTCCACGGCGCGAAAACCGCGCGGTGAACGGGCTGCGAGCTGAAGATTGTTGCTGTTTCTTCTCTGGGTTTAAGTGACGTCACATAGGCGCCTTGTTAAGAGACGGGTATATGATATTGTGTTTATAGCAGTATAGTAGCATATAAAGACGCATTATGGTTGGTGCGACATCTTGATAATTGTTTGCTTGGACTTTGGGGACTGTGTTTCACGTTAGTTTTCTTGAATGGCTGTCCCTAGTAATCCACAAACACGTATAAACCCTCAACCTCTAAACCCCCGAACCCTGGACTCTAAACCACCAACCGATTAAAGCAGAAGCCTACAACCTCTGAACCTCCGTACCCTGGCCTCAACCCCCAAACAACTAAAGCCCTAAACCCTACTTAAAGGCTCATGGGACTTAGTAAGTAAGGTTATAAGTAGGTTATAATTAGGATAACCCCACTTAGGGGACTTATAACCCCAATTATAACCTACTTACTAAGTCCCATGATCCTTCAAGTAAACCCCTAAACCGAACCCTTGTCTCCCACACAATCACAAGCAGAACCCTTCAGACTAGTCTTCTTTCTGCAGCTCCAGCTTCCTCATATACTAGGATGCCCAGTAGTACCCTTATTCCCTTTTTGTAGTCCTAGGTTCGCTTATGAAGCTACCCAATACCAAAAAGAGAGGCCTTTTTGCTCTTAGGTTACTGGGTATCCTAGTATAATTCAGGGGTCAAACCCGATTGGTTTAGAGTTTTTAGGGTGTGTAGGCTTGAGGCTTTAGGGTTTAGGAAGAAGAGGGGGTTGGGGATTTTAGGGTTTTTTGGGTGCAGGGTTTAGGAAGAAGAGGGGGTTTGGGATTTAGGGGTTCGGGGTTTAAGGAAGTATGCTACTTCTACCACCGGTCGAGGCTGCGTAGGGTCAGGGGATACTGATGCTCCTGCTTTCCGGGCGGTACTGCAAATATCAATTATTAAAATTTGTTTTTTGGATCCATGTCAACAGCTCCATCAATGTAAATCGTAATCAGGCTCTAGTCACACTCATATAAATCCAAGGCCCGAAGGCATGACCCGTATAGTTATTATTACTTATTGCGCAGAGCCGTGCGGAGCGCCGAGGTTGTGACCAGGGAGCTGTGATGCGACGTCGGTTGGGACTGTCTCTCGAGTGTAGCGGCAGGGGGTAGCCGGAAAAAATCATCCGAGGAAAGTGGTGTAAGCACGACACTCTGAACCCTTGAGCATGAAGCTCCTGAGCCCCGAAGCCTGAACCCGCATGTCCGAGGTGTCAACTCGAGACTGTTAGATGCTTGCCGATGACACGTTACCAATACCAAGACCGCACGAGCTCGAAACTCACAACCCTATAAGCCCTAAATTCCAAACCTCGTAATCACATTGGCGCCGAAAAAGCTTCATTTCCCTCTGCCTGAGCCACTTCCCATCATTCTGCAGATGACGGGTTGAAAATTCTCGTCCATGGCTTAGGAGTCTTACGTTGAGAATACGACTTCTTAGGGTTTATACTAAGGTCCCTAATGTCTGAAACGTCGCATGACTTTGTGCTCGTGTGTGTTGCATCTTCGAAAGATATGAACTCTTGCACGTGGCGTCCTGGTTGTCTGAGTTAAGACTACTGTCATCTTGACTTTCTTGGCTTCTTCAAAAGCAAACACTATAAACCGTAACCATCTTCATGATTGCTCTTCGGTTTCGTGTCGGTCTTGCGTGATGGTTCGAAGAGGAATTCGGAAGGCAGGGGTGGCATTTTGAGCTCATGGTGCAGGGTTTGGGAATTTCGGATGTGGGGAATTTGGGGTTGGGGGTTTGGCGAAATAGGGTTGTGGAGTTCGTGACAATGGCGCAGCAGAGCAGAGTAATGTATGCTGGTTGCTGGCGCGCTTTGGCTACCTCCCGTGTGTCCTTTACGGGTTGTTCCAGTTGGGTGGACCACTCGCCACTCGATAGTGCGTAGCACATATGCATGTATATACATACATATATATATATATACATATGTACATATGTACATGTGGCAAGCGACGGATACCGCCCAACAGCGAAGGACATCACTTTGAAACCCGAAAGCTCTAAAGGGAAACTCCGAAGCCCAAACCCGAAAGCTTAGACCCCGAACCAAACCCTAGTCCCGAAGCCCTAGACGTTGAGTAAGCCCAGGCCCAAAACCCGAAATTGTAGGTCGCAATGTTCAAAGCCAACATTCCGTTTCACACCGGGGCCTCTGGCAAACCTCGCGTGTATAGCTGAGGATGCACCCAAGATGGATCCCTTGAAGCGATAGGGAGGCTAGGTTCGAGTGTATAGTATCCTTCAAGGAAACCCAAACCGTATACAAGGTCAAGCCACCACTGGTCCAGAATCTGCTATGGGGCTTGAGAGTTGGAGGACCGGGGTTTAGCCTAAACCCTTTACGCCCCGAAACCTCAGTGCTTAAGAACCTGTTTCCAAGGCCCTGTTCTCTAACCCCGAAGCCCTAGAGCCTAAAACCTGATAACCTGAACCCAAGGCCCTCAATTTTATGCTAAACCCCAAACCTTCGAAAGTTCAGGTGACTGAGCAGCTGCCCCCCATCAGGATCTCGGTTCGTTTGCAGTAGTTTGCTTTTCAGTTTTAAGGTTTAGGGTAACTTTTAAGTTTAGGGCTTTGGGGTTGAAGGGCTCCAGGGTTTGTTTAGGTGAACCCTGAACCTGTTGGATCGTAACCACCCCAGTTGCGAAGTTGCGGTGGCCCTGGACCAAGACGAGTCCGGTGTTTCAACGTCGATGCCGGAGAAAAGGTTCGTCGAAGGATGTAAGCTCCTTAATTCAAGGCCGCCTCGCCCATGGCCGGTTTAAATTTAGGGTTTAGGGCCAGATCGCGATCGCATTTTTCAATTTTATCATAGCTCATTTTCATTGGAATTCGTTTACAGCATGACTTTCCTAGCATGTGTGCTTATAGTGACTTCAGACCTGCAACGTATTTCTTTCAAGGCTGCGGAAGTCTGTACAGGTCCATTTGTGCACCAGACGATTTGATCAACAAATGTAGAAACCTGATTAAGAAACCCTGGGCCCGTAACCCTAAAATAGTAGGATTCATAGAAGGAACCCTAATAAAGGCCCAAGGCTTCTTAATCAGGTTGCTACATTATGCCTTGTAAACCGTAGTCGGATTAAATCGTCAGGGAGGGTCATTGTTACAGGCTTCGCTTCCAGGTGCATGGTTAACACGCAGGGTTTGGGGTTCCGTTCTGTGTTTGGGGTTTGCTTGGGGTTCAGGTTCGTGAGCCGTGAACTTGAGTCTGTTTTACATGACAGGTGAATGCCTTCACCAAAGACAGGCTTGCCTTCATAACGCAGGCTCTTCGGCATTGTGTTTATCATTTGGGTCCACGGCTTCTGTGAGCATTACTAGGATGCCCAGTAGTACCCTTATTCCCTTTTTGTAGTCCTAGGTTCCTTATAAAGTTACCCAATACCAAAAAGAGAGGCCTTTTTATTCTTAGGTTACTGGGTATCCCAAACCCCTAAACCCTAAACCCTAAACCCTAAACCCTAAACCCTAAAACCCTAAACCCTAAACCCTAAACCCTCAACCCTAAACCCTAAACCCCTAAACCCTAAACCCTATCCTAGATTAAGACGTTAGAGTCAGCTTTGGTGCAAAGTTGGGATCGGCCACGGAGCTCTGGAAGGGTTCAAAGGGTTTAGGGGTTTAGGGTTTAGGGGTTTAGGGTTTAGGGTTTAGGGGTTTAGGGTTTAGGGGTTTAGGGTTTAGGGTTTAGGGGTTTAGGGTTTAGGGTTTAGGGGTTTAGGGTTTAGGGTTTAGGGTTTAGGGGTTTAGGGTTTAGGGTTTAGGGGTTCAAAGGGTTTAGGGTTTAGGGTTTAGGGTTTAGGGGTTTAGGGGTTCAAAGGGTTTAGGGTTTAGGGGTTTAGGGTTTAGGGTTTAGGGGTTTAGGGTTTAGGGTTTAGGGGTTTAGGGTTTAGGGTTTAGGGTGTAGGGGTTCAAAGGGTTTAGGGTTTAGGGGTTTAGGGTTTAGGGTTTAGGGGTTTAGGGTTTAGGGTTTAGGGGTTTAGGGGTTTAGGGTTTAGGGTTTAGGGTATTCCGAGTCGCCATGCTCATTTTCAAACACAGCGATATAGAATAGTATATCATACCCAGGGGCCCCAAAGTAGTTCCTTTTTGGGTAGTATATTAGAGTCCCTAACCAAAAAAGAGGACACACCCAACAAGGAACTACTTTGGGGCCCCTGGGTATGTACATCATATTTCATAGTGTGTCACACTATCAATCGTAATATACCAGTAGCATGAAGCAAGCATTCAGGGGTCCATCGTTTTGGGGTGCTGGAATCAAGAGTCGTGGTGCTGAGATCCACCGCTGGGGTTTAGCTTCTAAGTTTGGGCTTTTGATTCAAGGAAACGGGCTGACAGCGCAATTCAATTGAAGACATATTCATCAGTGCCTGACAAGCATTTAGTTGAAGCTTACCTTTGGTTAGTAGGGAATGGAAGAATGGTAGTAATAGTAGTTATAATTTTACCCCATTCCTCCATTCCCTACTAACCAAAGGTAAGGAAGAGGGCTTTGGGCGCAGCCCGTAAACCTCGTACGCACTGGACGTTGAAGCCTCAAGGCCCTAAAAGCCATATGGGTGGTTGTCAAAATTATGGTCCCCTTTTGGGGTACCCTAAATATTAGGTGTCGTAATATAATAGGTACCCAAAAAGGT